TGATAATCCATTAGAAAAGTGGGAAACATTCCAAACTCATTTCTGACTCCAGCTTCTCAAAAAGAGAAACTTCTGCTTATGGTCGCTTTAAATTAAGTATTTTTGGACCGTTTTAGGGGTAAATTAGCCTTTTGAAAACATCACTTTGGACCTTTGGATCACGTAACTACTTAATTGAATGCAATGAAGTAGCAGGTGTTTCAGGAAGTGGGGGGAGTGTGTGTGTGAGAGAAACTCCCTCTGGAGGAACACAGGGATTTTAGCCTTTCCAGACCATTTACATGCACTAAAACCTATAGAATACACTACATGGAAAGGGTAAACCCCAAAGACCTCTAATGGAAACACAGTGGCTTGGCTTTACTTGTAGAGTAGATACGTAGAAGTTAATTCACACACACACACACACAAATGTAACATTTATGTGTGTGTGTGTTATGCAGCCATTGACCTGTGTGCTGAGGGGAAACACGACTGTGAGCAGATCTGCATCAGCGCGCCCGGAGTCTTCAGCTGCGACTGCAACAAAGGGTTCAAACTCAACAAAGACAAGAAGACATGCACAGGTCAGTGAACCTCTCTCACACACACACACACACACACACACACACACACACACACACACACACACACACACACACACACACACACACACACACACACACACACACACACACACACACATACACACACACACACACACACACACACACACACACACGCACAGACACACACACACACACTTGCTGAAAATATTTTAAAGTTTCTCTCTACGACATAAGATACATCAGTAAAATGTTGGATTATTATTTAAGATATAAACTGTTTTTTTATCTCAAAGGATAAGACTACGGTGAATATGATTGTTAAAATAAAATGTAAAAACTGTAACACTGACAGAATTCTATTCAATGTAATAAAAAACTGATCTCTGATCCCATATTCTCAGGATAATCTGCAGAAAATTCTTCCAAATGATTCTTTCTTCACAAATGTCTGGCAGTTATTGTGCGTTCACTGTTATGGATAATTGTACAGTTTATCAGTTGTTCTGTTATCGTTTGTTATGCATTGAATATAATATAAAATATGAGCATTATGTGCAAAAGTGAATGATAGTATCTCACAAATATGGACTTAAAAAACAAACGTCATGTACGAATCCCCTAAAAAGCAGTACACTTTTGTTCATATTAAGTCAGTTTCCTCAGCTTTTTGGTGCCTCTGTGCAGATGTCAGTTATATGTAACATGTGTGTATTGCCGGTGTGTTTTCAGACATGGACATGTGTAACACGGTGAAGCACGGCTGTGAGCATCAGTGTGTGAACACGCCTGGATCTTTTTACTGCATCTGTCCTGAAGGCCAGCTGCTGCAGGAGGACGGGAAGAGCTGCGGCAGTAAGTGATAAATACTCTGTGATATTTCATTTCATTTCATTTTTATTTGTTCCATTCATAGTATGCATAACTTAAAGGTCACCTATTATGCAAAATCCACTTGTTCATGTCTCTTCTACATCAACATGTGTCCCCTCTTCTTCATGTCTCTTCTACATCAACATGTGTCCTCTCTTCTTCATGTCTCTTCTACATCAACATGTGTCCCCTCTTCTTCATGTCTCTTCTACATCAACATGTGTCCCCACTTCTTCATGTCTCTTCTACATCAACATGTGTCCCCTCTTCTTCATGTCTCTTCTACATCAACATGTGTCCCCTCTTCTTCATGTCTCTTCTACATCAACATGTGTCCCCTCTTCTTCATGTCTCTTCAACATCAACATGTGTCCCCTCTTCTTCATGTCTCTTCTACATCAACATGTGTCCCCTCTTCTTCATGTCTCTTCTACATCAACATGTGTCCCCTCTTCTTCATGTCTCTTCTACATCAACATGTGTCCCCTCTTCTTCATGTCTCTTCTACATCAACATGTGTCCCCTCTTCTTCATGTCTCTTCTACATCAACATGTGTCCCCTCTTCTTCATGTCTCTTCTACATCTACATGTGTCCCCTCTTCTTCATGTCTCTTCTACATCAACATGTGTCCCCTCTTCTTCATGTCTCTTCTACATCAACATGTGTCCCCACTTCTTCATGTCTCTTCTACATCAACATGTGTCCCCTCTTCTTCATGTCTCTTCTACATCAACATGTGTCCCCTCTTCTTCATGTCTCTTCAACATCAACATGTGTCCCCTCTTCTTCATGTCTCTTCTACATCAACATGTGTCCCCTCTTCTTCATGTCTCTTCTACATCAACATGTGTCCCCTCTTCTTCATGTCTCTTCTACATCAACATGTGTCCCCTCTTCTTCATGTATCTTCTACATCAACATGTGTCCCCTCTTCTTCATGTCTCTTCTACATCAACATGTGTCCCCTCTTCTTCATGTCTCTTCTACATCAACATGTGTCCCCTCTTCTTCATGTCTCTTCTACATCAACATGTGTCCCCTCTTCTTCATGTCTCTTCTACATCAACATGTGTCCCCCTCTTCTTCATGTCTCTTCTACATCAACATGTGTCCCCTCTTCTTCATGTCTCTTCTTCATCAACATGTGTCCCCTCTTCTTCATGTCTCTTCTACATCAACATGTGTCCCCTCTGTGTAAAGAGACTCTGACAGTTTCAGGGAAAAAGATTCTCTCTCTTTTCGTCCTGATCCATTTCTATAAAAACCTGTCTGAAAATTAGCTGATCAGATTGTGGCCACTTTATGATGTCATAACGATGTGTTGTCTTGTGTAACCATTAGCCAATCAGCAACCAAGGTAACCCCCCCCCCCCCCACCTTATCACCTGAATCTCCTCCTAGAGCACCATTGTGTTCTTTTTAACCAAATCTCTCTCAGAGGGGCGTGGGGAGGGGCTCCTTATTTTCATCTAAAGTAACAGACAGAGAATCAGCACTTTGGAAACAGGGCTGAAACAGAGGGGATTATGGGATGCTGCAATGATCTGTTTGGTGTTTGGAGCCAAACACTTCAAAGACATGTTTTGTATCTGAGACCTGTAATATATTGATGAAAAACAATATAATAGGGGACCTTCAATGTATAACACTTATTTACAAAACATGTCTCAATAAACACACCATCCCCGAAAAGGAGCAGGGAGAAAAATCTTATATATATTACCTGCCCCTTTCTCAAAAAAAAAAAAATAAAATAGATGGTCTGTCCCATCATAACAGTATCGTAGGAAAATAAGAGAAATGTAGTTCCCACTTGACAGTTAACGAAAAGAAACAAAACTAAAAAACAACAACACCAAAACATCACATGAACAAGATATAAAACTATCTTCCACTCAAACCTGGTTTTAGCATCACTTAGAGGCCTGAAAGTAAACCTTATAAACACGTAGAGTCTGGAGGAAGTGACCGCTGTGAGGCAGGATGGAGCAGCATCAGAGGCACATTGTTCTTAGATCAGTTTAAATCAACAGGAAACAGACACAAAAAAAAAAGAGTAGGAATACAGGAAATAAATCAGCATTACTCACAGTCTGAGAGGAGGACAACATGTTCTTACCTGGAAAACTTTGCACAGAACAGAAGTGTGTTGTCTTAGGTCAAAGCATAATAAACGGCATGTTATAAACTTCTATTTAAAATACAGATATGTCCAACTATCTTTTTGGTATTGGCCGTAAAATCAAGAGTTAAAAAATGCAGGCGTCCTCTTTCAAATGTGTTTAAACTTTAATTAGGAATTGTTCTTTAGTGTAAATTGAACAATTTTAAAGTTGTACTTCTAACTGTTCCATGTTTATTTGAAGCACCTTAAGATTTCCCTACAATTTTAAAGTGTGCTACCTCAGTGAACCAGGCCATTGTGTAACCCATAGATCCACTCTGTTGTGATGAGCCTCACATAAAGAGTATATTCATCCAGAGCCGAAAGAAGCTGTGTGTGAACATGACTCTGATGTTAAAAGCAGCTCAGAGTTTCTGGCCGGACGGACTCAGATCTTCTTCTCCTCGGGGGAGTCCTCGTCTGCCAGTAGCTTCAAACTGCAGCTCGTAAAAAAAGATATGTCTCATTTATCATCCACTCAAGATTCATACCCACAGACTGAAGCACAGGACACTGAAACACCTCTTTTGTTCCCATGAAAACTCACAAAGTCACCAAAGAACCTGTGAGAAAAAGGAGGTTTTATATCGACATGTAGGACGTCTGAACTATGAAATATAAAACGGCTGATTCTTTCAATCTGAGGCCGTTTGTCATAGTTGGCGGTTATGGAAATGCCACAATATTTATATAGCAACAGCAACAAAGTGTTTTATATTTATTGGCTCTTTGTCACTCGTTCCCTCAGCCTGTAAGTCTGCGAACATCGACCTGGTGCTTCTGATCGACGGCTCTAAAAGTGTCCGGCCACAAAACTTCGAGCTGGTCAAAAAGTTTGTTAACCAGGTGAGACATCTTCATACTTTCATATAAACAACTAACGTCTTTTTTTGTCAGTTTGTATAGGGTGGTACGGGGATAATGTATTTGTGTAGGCCGACCAAGAAGTTAGCATCATAAGGGCTTCCTCCATAAAAGCCAGTGGGATTTCTCCATGTGAATTTGGATTATTCGTCAAACAAACGTTTATGACACTTACACGTTTTGTTCAGCAGGATAATCTCCACGTATTAACACCACTTTATGATTTAAATGCAATCACTAGTCAGGCTTAAATGGAACTACCTACAGTATCAGGTCCCATGCCTTACACATCACCACCGCTAAACTAAAGGTGGCTTAAATTACTATACTTCAATTATATCTTATATATCTATTATATCATTTGTTCTGTATTTATCGGTTGGACTATTCATTATGGGAGGGGCATTTAAAGTAGTTTATGAGTTATCTGATATAATTACAACAGAGATTTGATGTACCCATAAGAAAAAGAATCAGGTCCGAAATGAAAGCTGCAAATGGTTAATGATCAAACTATCTGTATTATTCGCAAGTTTAACGTTACAGCGGTAACAATAGAGGATCAATAACAGAGTGTCTGTGCTGCAGGTGGTGGACTCTCTGGACGTCTCGGCTCACGGCACCAGAGTGGGTTTCGTCCAGTACTCCAGTCGGGTCCGGACAGAGTTTCCTCTCAACATGTACCACACCGCCGCCGAGATCAAAGCCGCCGTCATGAAGGTAAGGTTATTGATCTGTGTGTTTTAAATATTTTAATCCCAGATGCATGACCAGCTACCAGAGAACATACAGAACTCCATTCAGCCTTCAGTTAACGAGGAGAGGCTCAAAGAAACTCTGAGGGAAGTGTGTGTTGCGGACGTACCAAGTGTGTGTTGCAGACGTATAAAGTGTGTGTTGCGGACGTATAAAGTGTGTGTTGCGGACATACGAAGTGTGTGTTGCAGACGTATAAAGTTTGTGTTGCGGACGTATAAAGAGTGTGTTGCGGACGTACAAAGTGTGTGTTGCAGACGTATAAAGTGTGTGTTGCGGACGTATAAAGTGTGTGTTGCGGACATACGAAGTGTTTGTTGCGGACGTACAAAGTACAAAGTGTGTGTTGCAGACGTACAAAGTGTGTGTTGCGGACGTACCAAGTGTGTGTTGCGGATGTACAAAGTGTGTGTTGCAGACGTATTAAGAGTGTGTTGCGGACGTACAAAGTGTGTGTTGCAGACGTACAAAGTGTGTGTTGCAGACGTATAAAGTGTGTGTTGCGGACGTACAAAGTGTGTGTTGCAGACGTATAAAGTGTGTGTTGCGGACGTATAAAGTGTGTGTTGCGGAAGTACGAAGTGTGTGTTGCGGACGTACAAAGTACAAAGTGTGTGTTGCGGATGTACCAAGTGTGTGTTGCGGACGTACAAAGTGTGTGTTGCAGCCGTACAAAGTGTGTGTTGCGGACATTCAATGTGTGTGTTGTGAAAGTACAAAGTGTGTGTTGAGGATGTACAAAGTGTGTGTTGCGGACTTACAAAGTGTTTTGTTGCGGACGTACAAAGTGTGTGTTGCGGACGTACACATGTGTGTTGCGGAGGTACAAAATGTGTGTTGTGGACGTGCAAAGTGTGTTGCGGAAGTGCATAGTGTGCTAAATGTGAAAAATGTGCCGGTCTACATCCATTTTAACGCCCCCTACAGGAGGCACCATCTTTGTGTAAATATAAGACAGTGTCATTTAAAGCAGTTTTACTGGTAAATAAAATCTGGAAGAAATGTCTTAATCCCTACGACAAGTACATGAAGAAGTCATACACAGACTTTTAATGAAGGGGCGTCCAACAGGGACATGTTCTCAGCCCATTTTCATTTTATAAATATAACACATTTAGACAACAAGGTAATTCAAGTGCTTTACAAAAAACATTACAAATATTAAGACATAAAAAGCTAAGATAATAAAAGGCAAGGTAAGATAGAAAAAATGTTAGTACTAGCTGCATAGAAGAAAATGTAAATAATAGGCATCAGTATGTATATCTAAATTAAAATGAAAGCTGCATAGAAGAAAATGTCAATAAAAAACATGAGACAATATAAAATATAAGAGTAATATGTGTTGGATATAATAAAAGCCAGCCCTTGTTTACCTCCTTCAGGTGGACTACATGGAGAAAGGCACGATGACAGGCCTCGCTCTGAAACACATGTTAGAGAACAGTTTCTCTGAGTCTGAAGGAGCTCGTCCGTTAGACAGAAACATCCCGAGGATCGGACTCGTGTTCACGGACGGACGCTCGCAGGACGACATCACTGAGTTCGCCAAGAAGGCCAAAGAAGCCGGTGAGAGTTGGTTATCATTCTAACTATTTGTTTATTGATTACTTAAAGGTCACCTATTATGCAAAATCCACTTGTTCATGTATTTTCTACATCAACATGTGTCCCCTCTGTGTAAAGAGACTCTGAAAGTTTCAGGAACAAAGATTCTCTCTCTTTTTGTCCTGATCCATTTATATAAAAACCTGTCTGAAAATGAGCTGATCAGATTTTGGCCACTTTATGATGTCATAACGATTTCTTGGCTTGTGTAACCATTAGCCAATCAGCAACCAAGGTATCTCCTCCTAGAGCACCATTGTGTTCTTTTTAACCAAATATCTCTCAGAGGGGCGTGGGGAGGGGCTCCTTATTTAACAGACAGAGAATCAGCACTTTGGAAACAGGGCTGAAATAGAGAGGATTATGGGATGCTGCAATGATCTGTTTGATGTTTGGAGAGAAAACACTTCAGAGACATGTTTTGTATATATCTGAGACCTGTAATATATTGATGAAAAACAGTATAATAGGGGGCCTTTAAATCACAAAAAGACTATACATTTGGGATTAAACTATACACTTGAAGCATTATTTGTCTTAAGTGTTCATTAATGTGCATTGTCCTTATTCAAATAAACGATTAAATGAAATGAAAATACCAAAAATCTGAATCAGAAACGGTTTTATTACCAAGTTGGTTTACACATAGGAGGAATATGCTTTAGTGTATGTGGTGCAAAGACACAGAAAGAAGAATAAGTAGCAACAAAAAAACACTCCAAAAACTACAAATGTGTGTACAATCTTACAATAAAAAACACTTCTTTCTGTGATTTGTATTTCGCCCTGACTGGAGTCCGGTTAATTTTTATTTGCATCTGTCACCTTCAAACCTGTAACACTTGAAGTTATTGTTCAAAAAAAGTATTTTTGTGTTACTGATACTAGTAAAGAAGGCCAAAGAAGCCGGTGAGAGTTTTTTTATTTTAGCTATTTGTTTATTGATCATTTTTTATGAACTTCTTTTTCAAATACAACTTAAAACACCAAAAAACTATACATTTTTCTTTAAACGCAACTTAACACCAAAAATGAATATATTGAGTAATTGAATGCATCTTTCCAATAAAAACAAGAATTTCTATGATTTTTATGTGGCCCTGACAATGTATTTTTTCACGATACAAAACGACATATCCCCTAGTTTAACGGTTCCTCCACTCATACACTTGATTTCAAAGGTACAGTCCTATTTAAGGTCCTGCACATTAAAATGTTTAAATTGAAATGTATATGTGTGTGTGTGTGTGTGTGTGTGTGTGTGTGTGTGTGTGTGTGTGTGTGTGTGTGTGTGTGTGTGTGTGTGTGTGTGTGCAGGTATCACCATGTACGCGGTGGGCGTTGGTAAAGCGGTGGAAGACGAGCTGCGTGAAATCGCGTCTGAACCGACGGAGAAACATTTCTACTACACGACCGATTTCTCCGCCATCAGCACCATCGCAGAGAACCTCAAACTCAACATCTGCCCAGGTTAGAAGATCTGGGTTTTACTGACACCTTGAGTACAAAATGCAGTATAACAACAACTTACAAGAGCTGAAACACACAATACTAGGAAGGAGTTTCCAGGGTTCATTACCACTTTATTGCAGTTTCATGAGTTTTGTGTTAAACTAGAAAAAAAGCCCCCAACAAGTTCTTTATTGTCCTAAAAAGATAATATTGTGGAATGGAAAATCACAAATTGAAGTATAATAATTCACTTTTGTGCACGGCAGATAAATATAGTTTATTTTCCTTAAATATATTAAGGCTATTGAATTGAATAGATAAGTATATTTGTTATTGTGATACAAAAGTATTTCATTCTTAGGATTTATTTAATTGGTTTGATGTGTAAAATAACAGAAATGTATTATTCTTTGTTTAATATGATCATTGAACTTTTTTTTTAAAGTGAAATGATGTATACCAATATTTTACTTAATTAAAATGTCATAAATAAAGTAAAAGACACAAATGTTAAAATAATTATTATGATTTTGTCCATCATAAAGTACAAAGTAGAGGATGAGAGTCACATGTCGCTGTAATGATTTCCTGTTGTGTGGCTCCCTCTGCTGACTGAAATATACAACTGCTGGAAACAATATATAAATACTGTTTATATGTATGAAATAAAATAATGTAATCATTCATTAAATACAAATGTGTCACGTATTAATAGCTAGAATAAAAAACATGTGTAATATATATCTGATTAAAAATCATCCCTGCATAAAATACATTAAAATTCAAATAAAAATATGTACAATATATAAGAATCAAATGACTAATGCAGTGTGTGTGTGTGTGTGTGTGTGTGTGTGTGTGTGTGTGTGTGTGTGTGTGTGTGTGTGTGTGTGTGTGTGTGTGTGTGTGTGTGTGTGTGTGTGTGTGTGTGTAGCGGAGAGTCAGGGGGAGATCGAGGTGAAGGACCCCTGTGCCTGTGAGAGTCTGGTGGAGTTCCAGCAGGCGACCATGAGCAGCCTGGAGCAGCTCACTCAGAAACATATCCTTTAAAACTAACGGATAAAACATCTCCATAGAAACACCAGGAGAACAAAACACAACAAATATTTATTTCAGTTTTCACGCTGGCTTATATATATTTTTTCACACACACACACACACACACACACACACACACACACACAGTTATACACACAGTATACAGGAAGGTGCACACATGCATATAATTGTAATACACACACACACACACACAGACACACTTATACACAGTTTGTAGAATACAGGTAGAATACACATGCATCTGGAGAGGGCCATGGAGCAGTGAAGGGTTTGGTGCCTTGCTCAAGAGCTTTCTCCAGCTATCAGTCAACACTGTATTTTTTTTCTCCGATCGGGACTCAAACCGGCAACCCTTCAGTCCCAAGTCCAACAGACTGAGCCACTGCTGCCCCCCCTATATTTATATAAAATCTCGCATCCAGAGATTTTAGTCAAATTTGGTGAAAAACCTCCCCTTATTTTTTCATCTGCCAAAAGTCTAGTGAATTACTAAATGTTACCACAAAGTTATTGGATTATTTTATATGTTTTGCTGCTTAAGAGTAATGCAAATATACCATCCATTTGCATATATATTTTGTTATACTTTATCGGCTTATTTCATTAAACAGATACGCTCTGTTCAGAATATAAACTCGTGTTTTTACATTCAGTATAGAGTGGCGAAGTCCCTCCCCTTCCGGTGGACCTCCATGGGACCTTATTTCGGAAAAATTATGTATTGAAGTCAATGGAGAGAGAAAAATTATCTTTCGATCCCGTTTGAATTGTGCCACGAATTACACATATGATGTTTGTCAATTTAAAAGATAATTTTGCAAGTCAAAAAATATATAATGTGTCGTAAAACTGTGAAGTAACACATTTGTTTGTGTGAAACGCTCAATGAACTACATCTCTGGTCTCACAGAGCAACACACGTCACCAAGATGGCCGTCACTACTGTCTTGTCAACAAAACTATTGACTACCCTCACTATCACCACAATGAAACACGTCCTGAAGAATGTCATGCAAAGCTGCCTGCCTGCCTTCCTTTGATTCTCTCTGAACTGCCTGGTCGTTTTAATGTTTAATGTCAACCATTTGTGCAGATAGCATGAAGTAGAGAAGATCGCTAGCGTTAGCGTTAGCATTTCTCCCCCGGGCTTAAATTGTGTATTATAGAATGATCACACCGGTGTGACAGTACTCTTCAAAGGGTTCACGAAATATGACTACTACTCTTACTGTTTAACATTTTGGGTTACTTAATGTTACTTCATGTTAAGGCTAATACAAATGACAAGGCTGTAATGCTAACTAACGTGCTAGCTGCTAGCTAGCTTGATCCAGACACTCCTGGTCCTTTCATCAGACGGGAAGCGAAAGAACGAGCAAGACCCATTGCTGGTATGAACAACCTGGTACTAAGCACACAGGCATCTTGTTAAAGTTATCTTATCCAGCGCCATATAGATAGATTCTATCTATATGGCGCTGATCTTAGTGAAGGAAAACAATTGTGACATCACTTACGCGACTCTGGGATTTGTAGTCTTTCTAGTTGCGTATTTTTCATTGTCTTATATTTCAACAGTTTTACGACAAACTGTGACTTTTTTTACATGGAAATAATTTTTTAAGATTGACAAACATCATATGTGTAATTCATGGCACAATTCAAACGGGATCGAAAGATACGTTTTCTCTCTCCATTGACTTCAATACATTATTTTTCCGAAATAAGGTCCCATGGGGCGGAAGTAGATGGGCGTGACTTCGCCACTCTATAAGCGAATCACAACAGAAAACCAAGAAGAAAAAAAGAGACTTCTTATCAGGTAAATGATGCACATTCTGCTTCATGTGATTATGTTTCCCTAACCCTCTGTCCACTGTCCGCCATGACGTCCCGTCTGGAGCAGCTGGAGAACCAGCTCCTCTCCAAGAAGTGATCTCATCTTCATCACCCAGAGAGAACAGGAGAATAACAGTGTGAAGAGGAGGTAGAGGAGGAAGAGGAAGAGGAGGAAGAGGAGGAAGAGGAGGAGCTCTTTACATCAATGGACAAAACCAAAGGGCCTTTTCTGTCAAAGCCTCTGTAGCCTTCAGTGCTCTTCACGAGGAAGACGTCTGTCTGAAAGCTTGTGATATAGAATCATATTTCTGGTATGTAAATGAACTCATTTGTACGTGTTACGTCTTAAAATACAACAACTCATCCACTCTAAAGCTACACAAAACAGCTGTGAAACACAAGAGATTACACTTCCAAGGAATCCCGAGACATCTGTTCAGCTGTGTGTGTGTTCCTACATTTAGGATGATAAAGTTGTATTATTGTTCGATTTCCAAGAAAATGTTGATTAAAAGTGAAGCCCTATTGGCCTCTAACACACACACACACACACACACACACACACACACACACACACACACACACACACACACACACACACACGCACACGCACACGCACACACACACCATTCATCTGTTACTGTGTATACTTGATCTGTTTTGTACGCTTTGTTAAATATGTTGTATTTATAGCAGTTCTTCGACCACAGTAGGATAGCAAATTTAGGTAAAAAAAATTGTTACCACTCCCAATATTTAAATCGGCCACTTTTATACAAAATCATGACTTGTTTTCCCATATAAACTCACTTTGATCGCAGGTCTAAAGGGAAGAAATTAGAAGTATCACTAAAGCTGTTAACATGTGATGAAACAGATATAACAGAAATCAGTGTTTACTCAAAATAAATACTGCTTTTATTTTTGAAAATCCACTTTTTTCTGCACTCTGCACTTTCTAGATTTTGTCTTTGAGTGCCCTAAACATATCTGAGTATTATCCATCATTAAAAAAGTGGTTCTTGTACATTTTTCTGTCTTATCTTTGACCCTAATGTTCAATATATCTGTCTTTATCTCACCAAGGGGCCTCACAGGGTACTGTCTGTAAATGACTAACATATAAATAAATAAGAAAAGACCACCATAAATGTATACCCCTTTATATTTGAATGCTTGTATGTTTTTGTATATTTTCTTATAGCTTTACCATTTTTGTATTTTTCTGATGAATCTCTGTATTACGGCACGGACGGCAATAAAAGAGTGAACCGTTTCCTTCGGAGTCATGTGTCGTTGTTTAGGGAAAAGGAGGTGTTCTTCATTTTGGATTTAAGTTTTAGAAATTCATTTAAAGCTTCAGTCAGGACCCGAGTATAGAACAAGGTTTTATAGTCTGTTGTCAGGCAAAACAAGGCCGAAAAAACAGGATCTGAGAACAAGGTCCCCTATTATACTGTTTTTCATCAATATATTATAGGTCTCAGATATATACAAAACATGTCTCTGAAGTGTTTGGCTCCAAACACCAAACAGATCATTGCAGCATCCCATAATCCCCTCTGTTTCAGCCCTGTTTCAAAAGTGCTGATTCTCTGTCTGTTACTTTAGATGAAAATAAGGAGCCCCTCCCCACGCCCCTCTGAGAGATGATTGGTTAAAAAGAACTCAATGGTGCTCTAGGAGGAGATTCAGGTGATAAGGGGGGGGGGGGGTTACCTTGGTTGCTGATTGGCTAATGGTTACACAAGCCAAAACATCGTTATGACATCATAAAGTGGCCAAAATCTGATCAGCTCATTTTCAGACAGGTTTTTATATAAATGGATCAGGACGAAAAGAGAGAGAATCTTTGTTCCTGAAACGTTCAGAATCTCTTTACACAGAGGGGACACATGTTGATGTAGAAAACACAGGAACAAGTGGGTTTTGCATAATACAGTAGGTGCCCTTTATGACTAATCACAAAGACAAGACACAGGTGGGGAAGGAGAGGAAAACTACAGGAGAACCAGGTGAAAACAATCAAATAATCAAACAGGAGGGAAACACAGAGAAAGGAAGTAACCCCAGACAAAAGACAGGGGGTGAACACCTTTCAAAACTAGAGAATGCAATTCCTGAAGAAATTGCTAGTGGGAATGCTCTATGCTGAAAAGCTGACGCTAAACTGCTATGCTGAAATGTAATGTGTAAGAAGAAAGTGAAGAATTTAGATTGAAATGATACATGAACACTGGGGGCTTGAATGTGTGATGAGTGAAGAAAAGAAAGTAAAAAGGCTTGGAAAAGCAGCAGAATATTTGAACTGCAAACTTTTGAACTAACTTGATGGTGAATGATCTGTCGACATGGCAACGGCATTTGATGACACCACATAATACGCTTAGATGCATTGATGGCTGCATCGTTACCAAACCTGTGAAGTTTTGGGCCGTTTGGAACATTTTCACTGAAGTTATGAGAAAACCGTGTTTCATGGCGAGCATTGTGTTTCTATGGCAATGGCATTTGAAGAAATCTCAAAAATGTCTCGAAGATGTCTTCAAGGCTGGACTGTTAGCACACATGTGAATTTTGAGCACTTTTTGAACATTTTCATAGGAGTTAAAGGGACATCGTGTTTCATGGCGAGGGATGCGTTTCCATGGAAAACCAGCCATTACACAGGTGTTTATAGTTGAACTAACGAGGTATGAAGAGATCAAAGGTTTGCATTGTTCTGAATGACAGATAAACCTCTTACATGTGAACGTTTTGTGGAAGAACGATAACAGATATCTGTGAAATCTCAAAACGTGAAGCATGTCAAGGAAGTTGAGTATCTGAAGTGTAATTTTTGTGTACTTTCGGGTCAATAATGTGGCCTTTTTGGCAGTTTAACTAAAGGTGTGCGGCTGCTGCTGTGAGGAAATATCAGCCTGAAATTACGATGGGTTTTAATGGAGACATGTTGAACGTTTTTGTCACTTCATGCCCTCAAGAGGCATTTTGTTTAATTATTTTGCTTAATTATTTGTCATTTTTCAAGCTACGAGATGTTTTCCTACGTTTATCATGAAAAATTATGTCTCAGAAATGTAGGGTTTGGGAACTATGGCAGTTTTTAAAAAAAATATGAAGGCAAATATCAAGATTTCCTACCCTCTAGCTGTGACATCACGCACTCTGCCTTAACGAGCTGCGCAATGTTAAAGTTAAAATGTTAAAAATGTGATGAATTATGGGATGTATCTCTGGAATTATGAAAGTTATGAATGATAAAAGTAATAGCCATCGATTCCCGACCGAGCTGAACGTTTTGATGTTTGAACGGAGTTTCTGCGATGTTGAATGTGGGAGGAGAAGGCGGACAAAATAACTGGAAGGAATAATAAGAATTTTGTCCGTAGCATAACATATAGTGTAAATAAAACAGGAAACAGACAGATCGTGACACTGCAAAATAAAACACAGAAAAACACCAACAGATCGTGACAGCTACGCATCATTTGTATTTGATTTGATTTGTATATGTCTTTTTTTTTTTTATCTGCACCTAATCTTCAGTATTTCGTTCAAACTTGAGATGAAGAACTTACTGTATAGTAATAGAACAGACTATACAAAATAAAAAGAAACTGTCCAAAATGCATGATTTATTTTCTTAAAGGGGCCTTATTCTGCTGATGTCCAGGTGTATATCAGTATGTAGTAGGGCTGTGCGATTATGGCAAAAAATCCTAATCACGATTATTTTGGTCAATAATTGATATCACGATTATTAAAAACGATTATCCATTTACTTTGAAAACATCCATTTATTGAAACAAAAATGTGAACAGTATATGTTTAACAGTTGATTACCCTGAACTTTAAGTATAATTCAACTGAAAAAAAAAAAAAAAACAAAAAAAAAAAAATTAATAATAATTTTTTTTTTTTTTTAATAAAAATAATAATCGTTTTATTTCGATTACGTTGTTTTCGTAATCGTTGCAAGCCAAAATCGTAATCGAGATTAAAATACGATTAATTGCACAGCCCTAGTATGTAGTGTTTCTACTTTAAAGAGTTCTCTCCTGCTGATGTTCAGGTGTATATCAGTAGGTAGTGTTTCTACTTTAAAGAGTCCTCTCCTGCTGATGTTCAGGTGTATGTCAGTATGTAGTGTCTCTACTTTAAAGAGTCCTCTCCTGCTGATGTTCAGGTGTATATCAGTATGTTGTGTCTCTACTTTAAAGAGTTCTCTCCTGCTGATGTTCAGGTGTATATCAGTATGTATTGCCTCTACTTTAAAGAGTCCTCTCCTGCTGATGTTCAGGTGTATATCAGTATGTAGTGTCTCTACTTTAAAGAGTCCTCTCCGGCTGATGTTCAGGTGTATATCAGTAAGTAGTGTCTCTACTTTAAAGAGTTCTCTCCTGCTGATGTTCAGGTGTATATCAGTATGTAGTGTCTCTACTTTAAAGAGTCCTCTCCTGCTGATGTTCAGGTGTATATCAGTATGTAGTGTCTCTACTTTAAAGAGTTATCTCCTGCTGATGTTCAGGTGTATATCAGTAGGTAGTGTCTCTACTTTAAAGAGTCCTCTCCTGCTGATGTTCAGGTGTATGTCAGTATGTAGTGTCTCTACTTTAAAGAGTCCTCTCCTGCTGATGTTCAGGTGTATATCAGTATGTTGTGTCTCTACTTTAAAGAGTTCTCTCCTGCTGATGTTCAGGTGTATATCAGTAGGTAGTGTTTCTACTTTAAAGAGTCCTCTCCTGCTGATGTTCAGGTGTATGTCAGTATGTAGTGTCTCTACTTTAAAGAGTCCTCTCCTGCTGATGTTCAGGTGTATATCAGTATGTTGTGTCTCTACTTTAAAGAGTTCTCTCCTGCTGATGTTCAGGTGTATATCAGTAGGTAGTGTTTCTACTTTAAAGAGTCCTCTCCTGCTGATGTTCAGGTGTATGTCAGTATGTAGTGTCTCTACTTTAAAGAGTCCTCTCCTGCTGATGTTCAGGTGTATGTCAGTATGTAGTGTCTCTACTTTAAAGAGTCCTCTCCTGCTGATGTTCAGGTGTATATCAGTATGTTGTGTCTCTACTTTAAAGAGTTCTCTCCTGCTGATGTTCAGGTGTATATCAGTATGTAGTGCCTCTACTTTAAAGAGTCCTCTCCTGCTGATGTTCAGGTGTATATCAGTATGTAGTGTCTCTACTTTAAAGAGTCCTCTCCGGCTGATGTTCAGGTGTATATCAGTATGTAGTGTCTCTACTTTAAAGAGTCCTCTCCTGCTGATGTTCAGGTGTATATCAGTATGTAGTGTCTCTACTTTAAAGAGTCCTCTCCTGCTGATGTTCAGGTGTATATCAGTATGTAGTGTCTCTACTTTAAAGAGTCCTCTCCTGCTGATGTTCAGGTGTATATCAGTATGTAGTGTCTCTACTTTAAAGAGTCCTCTCCTGCTGATATTCAGGTGTATATCAGTATGTAGTGTCTCTACTTTAAAGAGTTCTCTCCTGCTGATGTTCAGGTGTATATCAGTATGTAGTGTCTCTACTTTAAAGAGTCCTCAACCTGCTGATGTTCAGGTGTATATCAGTATGTAGTGTCTCTACTGGTACATGTCTCCATACTTTAATGTTCAAAAAGCTCTTTATTTGTTTGTTATTTTCATTTGGGATCATTTCAAAACATTATCCCAGAGTAATTTAGTGAGCTGGGTTTATAAGTGGGATGTAAGCACAATTAAGTATTATTAATATCTTGTCTAATATTCTCCATTTAGTAACAAATATCACTAATACAGGAGATAAAACATTTCCTTCTACTTTTCATAATGACTTTATGTCACTGGAAGGTCCGTGTTTGAAAAATAGGTTAATATATACTAAAATATAATGTATAATTATACTTTGCTGTATAAACTGTGAAATACTCCACATTTGTTACTCAATAATCGCAATTACGCAACCTTGTCCACTGTCAAAGGACAAGGTTGCGTTGGGATATTTACAAAATGAAGATTTAATATCACAATTAACTTTAATAAACTATATACCTATTTTACACATTTCATAGTTTTTTATTGTGTAGTAGGGTTAGGTTACAATTATTAACTTAATTTCTCTATTTTGAATGATTGTTTTCATGTTGTTTTATTTAAAAATAGAGCATCTGGAACTTTGATCTCGATTAAAACAGATGACTCAAAACACTTCCACTAAACTTTTCTTACGTCAGATTTCAATGTTGATAATTCCTCACAACTCCATGTGACATTAGACGAGTTCCCTGATGAATGCAGTC